CATCAAATTTGATATATAGATATTAGAAATTAATCTAGAATTCCTTTATTGCTTTTATTAAATTTTGTTATATTGATACGTGGTGAAAGATGGTTTCTGATTTCCATTTTTTAACAAGCTCTTAAATTAATATAAAATACAAATAAATCGAGTTTTCATAATTTCCCTTTGTAATTGTGTTCAAATGGTTTTTTAAATAATTTTTTTTTTGTATTTGAAACCCATTTTCTTGCAGTGTTTTGCACGCAATCACAGTAGTTTTGCGCCTGCGGTAAGCTCGGACGGATACGGATACGGATACGGTTGAGGATAAGGAGATTGCAGGGCAGGGACAAGAGAAAGAGAAAGATAGAGCAGAGAGAGAGAGAGAGAGAAGACCGGGGGCATAGAAGCTGCTGGCTCGCGTGTAATTCAATTTTTCCCCCCCGTGCGGAACCCCAACTCCGCCCCTCCCCCGCTGCCAACAATTCCAACAAAGAAGCATTTATTTTGCGCCCGGCTTTGTATGCGCTTTTCTTTGTTGCACACAAAACTCAATATCCCGACTTGATGTCCTTTGTAATGCATCCGCTTTCGGCTGACGAACGAACGAACGGACTGACTGAAGGACGAAGGACGAAGGACTGCGACGAGTGAAAAAGCAACTGACTGTAAATCTGCCTGCAGCAGCAGCGGCAGCATCGCCAGTTGACATGCCAACCGGAGACGGACTGGCAAAAGGAAGGACCCACAGCAGGAGCACAGGAACAGGAGCTGGGAAAAAGTACAGGACCAAGAATCGAGAATTGGGCAAAGCAGTGGCTTTAACATCAAACTTAATGACTTTGGCCAAAAGCTAAATTGCACAAAGTGTTCCCTTTGCCCTCTCGCCCCTCAGAACGGCCGGGCTGCAATCAACGGGAAGCGGCTTTTAGGGCCATTAGCCAGTTCTCGGGCACATGTTACTACACGGCTTTCCCTATTGGCCCAACACTGAAATTAATACTATTATAATTCTTTAATTAATATGTCTGCTTTTAAAAAGAATAAATATTAGGGAGATTTAAAACGTTTTAATGTGTTAGTATTTTAAAATAAAATTTATGAAAGTGCAAGCTATAAGGTTATTGTCACCAAACTTAGTGTCTCTAGCTCTTACGGTCTCTGAGATATCAGGATTTATTCTAGCAAACGGACAAATAAACTAACGGACAAACGAACTGACGGACAAACGAACATTCAGATATATTCTATAAAATAACATGTAATTCCTAGTTTAAGTTTAATTATCAATACATTTATTAATATTAACCCAATTATTTTTGCAACTCTTACAAATGAACACATTTAAATCCTATTTTTTTGCAGTGCATGAGCGTATGTGTGTGTATTTTTATTGTTGTTAGTTTTATTTCCACTAAGCCTGGGTACTGGCTGCCATTTGACCCACATTAAAATCAAATTACAGGCCAAAAATGTTGCAGGAATTTCAATTACAACAATTCGCCTGCACATGTGCCCCAGGATCGCAAAAGGATTCCCGGAAAAATCAGTTTGGAAAATGAGGCTTATTTATGGGAGCGAAGCAATCAGCACTAATTACAAAATTCTTACGAGCCAGTAATTATTTAATACGGAAATTAAAAAGGAAAACATTATCGGCATTTCGAAATAGCAAATTAGACGTAATTTCATTCCAATTGGAACCCGTTGGGAGTACCTTAACAATTTAAATATACAATTTAAAAATACAATGCAAACATAACCTCTAATGAGAGACAGCTTTTTTTTTTAATTTCCAATTAGATTAATAAATTCACCTGCAAACTGCAAGGGTAAACAAAGATCGGCTTACATATTTAAATATGTGTGCACATCAATCATTAAACGAACTCCCTTCAATTATGCTAAAGCATTCTCACAGTTAAATGTCCCTAAACATTGGTTACTTATTATAAAAACATTGAAATAACAAAAAGAATTAAATAAATACAACGAAAAATAAATGGAATTCCTTTCCCAACTCCTAATAAAGCTTAGCTCTTCCCTCCTTCGCAACTAAAGTCCACTCTTCGATTGCCGCTCTCTCTCAACACCACCCTCTCAATATCGCTCCATCAAATGTTGCTATGATGTTGCTCTCCCCTCGCTCAAATGTTGCTTTGAAGCTGCGAGCGCTCAGGTACAGCCGCTTTCTGTTGCCGATCTTCAATCGAAAAAGGAAGCTGCTGGTGAAAAGGTTGACAAGTGAAGCGGAGCCGTGAAAATTTGCAAAGTGAGCCATTTTCCGTTGCTTCTTCGTGTTGTGTGTTTCATTTAAAGTAAAAGTGTTGATTATTATGATCACATGAAGTGATGTGCTATAATTTCAAGCTATCAAATGTTCCCAGTGCGTGTTTGTGGGTCTTTTTCCAATTGGCCAGAAGAAAAAAGGAGTACGTGCATACACACATACATATACATATATGTATGTGGTCCGTACAGCACGGGAAAGTGTTTCTACACTGTTTTTGTTCATTTTTTTCTAGTGCTGTGTGTTTTTTGCAAAAGAAAATATGTGTATACTTGCGAAAATGTATGAAGAAGCACGTGAAAATGGTCAAACGAAATGCAAAGTGGCGCGCGCCTGCTACAGTTACGCCAGCAGCATTCCGTTACTTCCAACGGGATCCCGTTGCTTTTGCTCGGGAGCAAGATGGAATGGCCGTGGAGAGCGCCAAAGTGATGAGCAGTGAGTTTTCTGTGAGAGTGCGAGTTACAGTGGTTACCGTGGTTTTAGTTTCGAAAAAGGTCGCAAATTATTATTAATTAATATTTGCAAAAAATGAAATACGTATGAATGTATTTCCAGTGCATGTGTGTTTTAATTATTTAAATAATAAATATAATTACAAAATAAATATAATATATTTATTTAAATAATAAATATAATTAAAAAATAAATATAATATAAATATAAATATAAAAAATATAAATATATATATAAATGGGCCTTTAGTTTAAATATATTTAGTTTTTGTTTTTTTTTTAATATTTTTTTATTGTGTTTAATAATGAAAAAATAAGCCCAAAGTGTTTTGTGTCAGTGTAAAAATGAAGAAGCAAAAAACGGCAAGTGATGACCATTCGCTAAATGCAAAGAGGAGGAGCAAACGAAGCAATCGGTGAGTGCAAGAAAAAAACGTATAAAGGCGGGAGAGCGGGAGATTTTCTTATCTGTGTATGTGTGCGTGTGCAAATAAGAGAGCACATCAACAAGTGAGGCTAATCTGACAGCAAAACAAATAACCCTGATTCTTATTGGGAGCGACAGAGACAGACGTAGACACGCTGACGAAAGGATGAGCGAGAAAGAGTGACTGATGGTGATGGCAAACAAAACTGAACAAAATAATAGGGAATATAGCAAAGAGCAGCGGCGCGGTCAGTAAGTCAGGTCAATTCTGAGTTTTTGTGGTTAAGAAAGCGAATGGGTGGGGGCAGGAGAGGACTTCGGGTGACGACACGCTAATCAAAATGTATTTATTAATGAAGTGGAATAGGTAAACCAGAGAGCGGGAGAGTATCAAGGAGAGGGAGAAATGGAGCATTCGGAAGAGAGTCGGGAAGTTAAAGGAAAAATAAGGAGTTAAAGGGAAAAGGACAGCGGAAAGTTATGAAGTTGAGGGTTACACTGCTCAAGAAATTATTTTATTTGTTTTTATTATATTATGTTATATTATATTATATTATATTATATTATATTATATTATATTATATTATATTATATTATATTATATTATATTATATTATATTATATTATATTATATTATATTATATTATATTATATTATATTATATTATATTATATTATATTATATTATATTATATTATATTATATTATATTATATTATATTATATTATATTATATTATATTATATTATTATATATTCTATATTTTTATTTGTCTTTTAATATTTATAATTTACCATTATTCCACATATTCAATAATAACTATTTGCTGAATATAATTTTTTTATGGTTAATGCCGTGAAAATTCTTAAAAGTTTAAAGATAAAAATTCAGAATTTTCCAGAACATAAAAATCGTTGGGGATAGGTATGGTATCGCTCGATAAAATGTAAAAAAAAAACAAAACTTAATTATGTTTTTTCTTAATTTTGTTCACATATTCTCACTTCCTGACCTTTTTGACCCTAAATTTCCTAGGCCAATCCTGTTTAAATTTAAAAAAACTTGCGGTTAAATGTATTTAAATATTTTGCGCCGTGTGGCATTTAAGCTGAGGCCTGTTAACAATGCTTACTCTTCGGTTAACCCCGCGCTGAACATGCAAACGGGGCCGGAAAATGGGTGAAAAAAAGCGCAGCCACAGCCTGATGCCTGTTGCCTCTTGCCTGTGTGTGTGTTTGTGTGTGCGTGTGTGTCGCCTGTAATTTGTGTGTACACAAAGCCCGTCGAGTGGCAAAACGCAACAACAACAACAACAGAACATGCGAAGGAGGCACAAACTCCTCTCACCCCTCTGGGAGGGGAAAACCTCTTCAGGGGCGCCCGTGCAGGTCGCCAATTTCTAATTTATGCACTGACTCCTCAACTGGACGCGCGTTCTCGTTAAGCTGTTGTTGTTGTTGCTGCTGTCGCTGTTGCAACAATTAAAAGTCCTTGCATGCGGCATGCAAGGACGAGGGAGTTAAGGAGGCGCTCGAGCGCGAGCTGACAGAAAAATTAAAACGGCAACAAATTTGCCGTTGCGACCTCAGAGCGGCTCATGACTGCGGCAAATTAACACAATATCTTAGTGGGGGGAAAGTGCTTAAAAGTGCAGTAAGAGTGAGTCCTTCTTAAGAAGGTGTATTTTAATAAATTGTCGCTAGAAATTGGCCTTGTAGAAAAAACTTCACAGCGGTTTAATTTACACTGATTATCGCATTAGGTGAACATTTTTCAGCCAACAGTATTTACTATTTAAATAAGGGTCTTTTAGAAACATATATTTCATCGTATTTTCCCTGAGTTACATGTCAAAACAGATGAGCAGCAGTCTTATTTGCTGTCAACTCTTGACGAGTCCCTGCTGTCTCACATTTAGTTTGGAAAATTAGAAAAAATCTAGTATTTCGGAAAGTAGCCAACCAATTTGTATTGTTTTCTTTCTTTCGGTGAAAAGTTGTCCAGAAATTTAGTTTTAATAGTTTGCAAAACAGCCATGGGCTTTGACATTGCCTTTATTGTGGGACACGTGGACGATGAGCTCCTTTGCCCCATCTGTGCGGATGTCCTGGAGGAGCCGGTGCAGTCGGTGGGCTGTGAACATGCCTACTGTCGGCGTTGCATTGATCAATGGATGCGTTTGAAGCAAATATGTCCGGTGGATCGATCCATTCTGCTGCCCGAGCATTTGGGCAATGTTTCCCGGCTGATGCGCAACATGCTGGCACGCTTGAAGATCAAGTGCAGCTTCACGGAGAATGGTTGCGATCAGCTGCTGCAGCTGGAGGATTTTCGAGCCCACGTGGCGCTCTGTGAGCATAATCCCAAGTTGATTGTAGAGTGCAAAAAGGGTTGCGGCATTAAGGCAAGAGTCTAGAATTTGTTATTAGATAACTTTGTTATTTTCATTTTAAATTCCCTAAAAAAAGGTGCCCAAGGATAAGCTAGCTAGCCATAATTGTGTGGAGGAGCTGCGCGATACGGTCAAGGTTCTGTTGGACGACTTGAAGGATTTGAAGGAGTCGCAGGCCAGTCAGCAGCTGCGCATTGTGACCCAGCGTCGGGAGCTAGAGTTGATGCAATATTACATCTCTGCTCTACGTTCGAGTAACCCGGTTATCCATGGCATTGGCGAACAACTCGATCGCTACTCGTTGATGCAGTGGGGCAATGCCCTGCCCCTGGCCAGTGTCCGTAACTGGGGCAGCCTGGTCTCCACACCGGACATACCCATGCATGTGATGGTCCGTGAGAGTCTGCGGGCCAGTGGCTGCCCCATGCACCTGTTCAACATGATGGTGGACCGCTGTCATGAGGACCGTTGGCCCAAGGGTTTGTCCACCCTGAACGCTCGCCGGGAGAGCCAGCATTTGTATCAGTATGTGGCACGTTTGCTGCCACCTTTGGTCATTGGGAAGCCGTGTGTCGTTGTCCTTGGAGGTGATAATACTCACATGCCGCCAGATCTGGTGCCAGCCCTTGGTATGGTCCTGATCTTTGTCGATGGGGTGACAGAGATGCAGCAGGAACCGCAGCCGGAACTCGTCTATGGCTGACTCTCTTGAACCCGTGTTTTTCAGGACAAAACACATATCCATATACATGTTCTTAAGTATTTGTCCTGGAAACAAATGCTTTTAATGTTTAAAATTAACAACACAAACGAGATGAGAACAGATCAACACTTTCACTCAAAATGGAACACAGAAAAACAATACAAATGAGTTATAATAATGCAAATGAATAATAAGGAATGTCGAAAAAGTAATCTATGTGGTAATATATTATAACTAATTACTAATTAGTTACATTTTTAGTAAGAAATTTCTTCATTTAAAGTATAGAAAATGGTAACACAAGTATCCTAAGCTCTCTAACATCATTTTCGCATATTAATGCAAACAGTTCGATATAGGAAACGATATTACCAATTGTCGCAATGGTTTTTTGATTACTTCTATTGCTTATCATCATTGACTTTGACTCTGCACACTGCAGGTTGCATTTGCATCTGCATCCCAATCGTAATTTTTAGCGCACACAATGGTCCTCCTGCTACCCCTCATCCTCCCCCTCTCTGTGCCACCGTTTGGGGCAAACATTTCAGAGGTGACACAACCCTGTTTCCCTCCCCCCTCTTTGTGCCTTTCCACTATTTGCATATAACAAATAAACACACTCGCAGGCACACTCAGTCGGTGCGCACCCACACCAATACACAAATAAACTGATAAACTGATTGCAACCGCATGGGGCATGTGACAGGGGGGGGGGGGAGGGAATGGGGTACCAAAAAGGGGGGGGGATGGTGAGGCATTCAACCGAAACCGAAACAGTAGCGAAATTTATAACCAAAAAGGGAATTACAAAATCGCGTATAAATTTATGTACGAAAAGGGGTTGCTCCTGGCTGGGGGGGTGGAGGAGGTGAGGGAGGGAGTGAACATCCTCCCCCCACTCTTACCCCCCTTTTTTGTGCAGTGCACACAGTCATTCAGCAACAAAAGCAATAACGCCGGGGAGCTGATAAAACAGATTTCGATATCAGAGGCAGTCCAGGGGGGGTGGAAAAAAGGGGGTTGATGGGGGTCGTGGATTGTAGAGCAAGGGAGGGGAAAAGAGGGACCGCAATGAAGTGCCAATATGAGCGGGATTCGTCACTTTTAAACGAGAAATGGAAGTGCCATGTGTGTGCTTGCTTTTAAAATATTCGTTACTCGCGTTGGAAACTAACTTTAACCGCAAATAAATGGTTTTTACTCATTGTTTAAATATTTTAATTTAAAAATTGCAATTTAAATGGTTGGAAATCCTTCGTTTAATACGATATTTGGAGGACTGGTAAAGATTTAAAAGACATTAAAGTTGTCAATAAAAAGAAGAGAAGCTAATTGCAAGAAAGCCGAAGTGTATATACCCTTGCATGGGTTCGATAGGGCAATTCATCATAACTAAGCCAAAAATGCATTAATTTTCATTCGGAAAGCTTTTCTGTGTTAGTTTTTTTAAGGTTAACAAAACTGCATATTAAGTTATACAATTTTAAGAAATTAAATTTTTTCAAATTTTCAACATTTTAAATATATAAAAAATGACATAAATATTAAAAAAAATATATATAAATTTTTTTCTTCCCTACATATCCAGAAAGACTCCCCAGTTCATGCTGATCAAGAATATATATGATGTATAAGGTCGCAAATGACTCCTTCACTGCGTTTTAAGCTTGTGACTTAAATTATTATACCCTGTAATGGTATAAATATTCGATATGATGATTTTTTTATAACCCAAAGCTGAAAAAACTCATAACTTAGCTAAAAAAGCATTAATTTTGATTCGGAAAGCTGTTCTGCCCTAGTTTTTAGTAGTTTAAAAAGTCTGCATACCTAAATTTAAATTTTTAAATATTTAATTTTTTGTCCATTTTTAAAAATGTTAAAAGTCCTTTTTAACACAAAAATTTTTGAAAAAATTTGTCAAAATTACATTGTTTCCCTATATGGCTAGAAAGATTCCCCTGTTCATGCTGATCAAGAATATATATGATTTATGGGGTCGGAAAAGATTCCTTCACTGCGTTTTAAGCTTATGACTGAAATGATAAGTCCCTTTCAAGTGTATACAAATTCTATATATTGCTTAGGGTATTTAAATAACCTTAAGTTAGATTACTTCCTCGGAAAACCTATTTAGTTTTTGTATTAAAACATTAGTAATGATTTGAATGATTAAGCTTAAAACTAAGTCCCTAAAACTATAAAGTTTGTTCTTAAATGCAATCGATTTTAATCTTAATAATCTTCATTATTTTATCTCAACTCCTTAATGCAGCAACCCTGCTCGGTTAGCTCCTTCTTTTATGTGTGTGATGGTAACCCTGGTCACCCATAATTTACTCTATTTTTTCGGAAAAAGCCCCTTTTGGGCTACACACACAGGGAAAGCAACCCCAGTGGAAGGGAATATAAGAATATCAATTTCACTGAAAATGCAAATTTTCAAACGGAAAGAACTGTCAGAGAGAGAGAGAGAAAGGGACGGGTGAGGGGGGGACTATACTAGAGGGGCATCTCCTCCTCTTTTACTGTTTATGGCTGCTGCCTCGACGCGCAGCGAACAGATTGTTTCCGCTGTTGTAGACTTTTTGGCAACCAAAACACACTCGGAAGGTTACCAAAGGGGGTGGGATGTAGTGTAGGGAAATGGGTGTAGATAGCTCCAATGACTCGGAAGTAAGTGCGAGAATGTCTATGCCCCATCCCTCTTGCACCTTGGTCCTGTGTGATTTTCACAGCTCGATTCCGCCGCCGCCTCCACCCACGTCCAAAGTGTTAATTTACGAAATTGCAGGGAGAATTCATTGAGTTAAGAAGTTTCTGCCGGTTGCTCCTTGCTTATTTATGCATGTAAATGTGTGTGTGTGTGTGTGTGCGCCTTAACTGCTTCTCTTAGCCCCACAAACACCTTTACTTTCACCTGTATAGGTACTGCATATATCCCTGTTGGCCAAGCTCTTGGAGCCGGCCACTAGTTTTATTTTTAACCTGCCTTTAGGTATAAGAGCCACCCCACTTTTGGCACCTGTTCCCCGCCCCCCGCCTCCCCCCTGCATGTTTATAGTGTCTGCCTGCTATCGGAGCGCTTCGATCTTGGTAAATGGAAATTTACACGTTAACACTTTTGGCCGCTTGTAAGTGATTTGGTTTTAATTCGCTTGATGGCGTCTGTTGGCTTTCCACCTCTCTCTCTCTCTCTCTCGGCTCCTGTGTTTTCCTGGCCAACATGTTCGTCCTGTGGGACTGCCACAGTCCATGTGTGTAAGCGTGTCTCGTCCTTGGTGTATGTTAATTTTTGGTTCTCTCTCATGTGTTCATGTTCGTTTGTTGTTTATGATGCGAGTCGGGGGGAGGGAGGGAAAATGTGAAAGAAATGTAGATAAAAACGCCAGATAGAGCAAAAGGACTCTCTCCCCGCATCTTTTGCGGCCAGCAACTTAATCCCTATTCAGCAGGAAGAGGAACACAGCCCCAAGGAGTCCAAGGAGTCGAGGAAGAGCCAGAGAACATGGCGCACATTTGAAATTCACATGAGCCACCGGGTAATGCCTGTGGCCACATGCAGGAGCTGCACTAATTTGCATATGACCACTACTACGTCCGACACCGAGTGTGTCGACAGACAGCTCTCTCCTCTCTCCAGGAGGTGGTGAGTAGTAGCCAGACCACGCCTCCTTCTGCGGCTTCTGGGCCATCAAAGGAGCCATTGCCACGCACACACACACTTCATGCCACACCAAACCACACACTCCATTCGCCCCTCGAGTCATTTTCGCGCGCCTAAGCTGATGGTCTTGGGGTCTTCTGCTTCCACGCCCCCCAAAAACCAATGTCAGTTATTGGCGATACACTGGGAAAACAAAGGGTTACTGAAAGAAATAAAATAAAGCAAGTATAAACTAAAGAAGGATTTAAAGAAAAGTACTTTATGTGTCTAGAAAAAAGAACGTGATATAGTATAGTATGACCCGAATCCATACAATAAAAAGTTTCTCTAGGATATTATCAAGACCAGATTTAGCTTTGTCCATCTGTCAGTTTGTTTATAATTAAGCTTAGATCTTATAGAGATTAAAGATAAAGATATAAAAGCTTTGATATTGAAATTTAATATCAATATTATAATAGGTTTCAATAGGATTCTCCCTAAAATCACCTATATCTTAAAAACTATAATAGTTAGAGCTATCAAATTTGCAGACAAGATTAATACACTTCTACTGCCTTTTTCCTTCAATTTCCTCAAAGTGTAAGTGAAATCCCTGTTCCGATTTTCAATCGCAGTTTCGCCTATCTGTGTGTCCTTCTATTTGCCTTGGGCCCAAGTCTCTCAGCCTTCGTCCCGTCCATTTGTTTGTTTGTTTTCACAGCATAAGGCGACAATCATGCGGAATTTCATTGCCCAAGGCGGCCCGGGAAAAGTGTCCTGCCATCGTCATCATCTCCACAACCATTCCCCATTCCCCATTCCCATTGAGGCGACATTTCAACGTTTAACTAAATCAAATCGATATCGAATTTAGTTGTCAACGCGGCACAGAAGTTTTCGTTGCGTTTTCAGTATGTCAAAGTGAAATTGAAGGCGGTGCGGGCGGTGTGGAATTGGGCTTTACGGGTTTCAATTTCGCCTGAACCCCCCACACAGACCTCAAAGTTGGCTATGTGAAATGTGAAACAGAAACAGTAACCCAAGTCGATGATGGCAAAGGCCAAAAGGGAAAAGTTTCTTGGGGACGCTTCGCCTTGGCACAACTTCAACGCGGAGGGGATTGCGTGTCGTCCTGGGGCTTGGATTTTCCTGAATGTATATCTGTCTGGGATGTCTGTGCGTGTGACCGCATGACAAAAAAGCCACAGGTTATGAGTTTTTCATTACATTGCCGTGCACTCAACCTCTTACCATATACATATATATTTGGCCCATTCTTCGTACCATCTCGCATTACTTTTATGCGACTTTTGTTTAGTTCTGTGTCCCTTGGCAGGCCACCAATTCGTAATTGCACGAATTAGTCTTTTAGTATATTGAAAGTGTCTGACATGATGAACTGAGTGAGTAAATAAAGCCAAAACTGTTGCTTGATATATATAGGAAATCTATACTTTTGTTTTTAATTGAATCGTATAAGATGATAGTTGCATTTCAAATGTATTCCCAGAGCAATTTATAATTAATTTCCTGCTGCTTCTATTATTACAGAATATTTTT